TGTCAAGTGTCTTTGGTTCATATAGCTTGCTATACCAACTACACTGTGTGTTAATTATCTCAATCTAAGACTGGTTCATATAGCTTGCTATACCATCTCTAATGCATTACATCATATGAGACCCAGGATAAAAGTTTCTTATCTTTCTTTTAATGTTTGAATTAATGACATTTTGTTCTTTGCAACTTTTGCAATATGTGAGGGATTGTTGTAACATATTAATATTATATTGCAAAAGTTGTTTTTGGAACGTTGGTTTTGGAACGTTGGGTATAAACTTTTGCAACCTTCAATTCATTTTCTTAAGTGCTCCAATGGTAAAATATTTAATGATTTTTATTTTTTTTATTGATTTTATTCTCTCATAACTCTATAAATAGAGAGTTCGTCCTCCATTCCAAAACACAAAAAAAAAGCAATCTTCTTTCATTCCCTTTTCTTGTTTTCCTCTTCTAAAAATATTCTGGGTTTATTTTATACTCTTTTTAGAGATCATTGCTAGTTATGAGATCTTCAAAGATATTCTGGAAAGTTTTTGTTGTATCTTGGGGGACTTGCGCAATACACCGCAGATAAGTCTTTAAGGACAGTGAATCTACACGCCTTAGGAAATACTGTTTTGTCAGCTTTTTACAACAGCTTCTACCTCAAGAGGAAAGGATACATTGATATTTTCTTTAGGTAACAAGAAAGAGTCTCTGGTGTTAAACTTTTGAGCATCCTTTCATGTCACTTCATAAAGAGAATTCTTTGAAAATTATGTCCCTGTAATGCTTGGTAAAGTTTTCCTTGGTAATCAACAATCTTCTGAGGTTGTTGGTAAAGGTGTAGTAAATATTAAGTTAAATGGATCAATATGGGAATTGACGAATGTTAGACATATTCTTGATTTGACAAAAAACTTAATCTCAGTAGGCTAGTTGGCCGATGAAGGTTATACAACAGTATTCCATATAGATCATTGAAAGATTTCAAATGGTGCAATAAGTATTGCTCGTGGTAAAAAGAGTGGTAATGTTTACAAGACTACTAAAGCATGTCATTTGATTGTAGTTGAAACAAATGAAAATTTTAATCTATGTACCAAAGATTAGGCCATGAGTGAGAAAGGGATGAAGATCATGCACTTAAAAGATAAATTACTAGGTTTTCAATTAGTAGAATTTGACTTGTGTGAAGATTGTATACTTGAAAAGTAGAAAAGAGTTAGTTTTTAGACAAGTAGAAGAAACTTAAAGAAAGATAAACTTGAGCTTGTCTACTTTGTTGTCTGGGGGCCAACGACTTCCCCTTGGTGGGAAACAATACTTTGTGACTTTTATAGATGATCACTCTAGAAAGGTATGAGTTTACTTTTTTTGACACACAAGTGTGAAGAGTATTTGAGGCTTTCAAGATTTGGAAAGCGATGTTAGAAAATGAGACAAGATTGAAGATCAAAAAGCTTGGAACAAACAATAATGATGAATATGAAGACAATAAATTTAAAAAGTTTTGCTATGACCACATGATCAAAATGGATAGGTTTGTGTTTGGTATGCCTCAACACAATGATGTAACTTAACATATGAATTGAACATTGACTGAAAGAGATAGATGCTTGTATTTGTAGTTAGGCTTACCAAAGCAGTTATGGGCGGAACAACACAACAAGTTACTTAATCAATCAAGGTCCATCCATACCATTGGAGCATAAGATATGAAAAGAGGTATAAGTGGAAAAGAGGTAAACATCTAAAAAGTGCACTTTCACCAGTTATGGTGAAGATGAGTTTGGCTATTATTATGGAATAATGAAAACAAAAAGATTATTCGTAGTATAGATGTGATCTTTAATGTACAAGAATAGGGACAACACATACACTAAAAACTTAGAAAAAAGCAGTCCAATGTATGTAGAGGTAGATGATGTTCCATAAACTTTTGTAATTGATATTCCTTAGTCAAAGGAATCAATAAAAAATAACAATGACAAACAAATTGATACAAAAAAGCCTTATACTCTAATTCATGTTTTGATAGGGTCTTCTCGACCTCATAAACCTAACAAGAAAAATTGAAATTATATATTATTTATTGATGTTAGGGAGCCTAAAAACTACGAGGAATCATGTTAGACTTTAGATGCTAATGAGTGGAAGTTTGTTATTAAAGATGAGATGAAGTCTTTAATATCTAATCAAGCATGAAAACTAATAGAGTTGCATATGAAGAAAAATGCACTTCACAACAAATGGGTGTATCAAGTAGAGGAGGAGCATAATGACTCCAAGAGATACAAAGCCTGATTAGTTGTCACATGATTTCAACAAAAGGAAGGAATTGACTACACAAAAGTCTTTGCTCCAGTAATTAAACTTAATGTCATTGAGATAGTCTTAAGTATTTTTGCTTATGAAGGGCTCTTTACATTGAGCAATTAGATGTAAAGACCAAATTTCTTCATGGAGACTTAGATAAAGAAATTTACATGCATCAACCCGAAGGTTTCTAAAAATAAAGGAAAATTAACATGGTATGTAGATTAAAAAAGAGTTTGTATGATTTGAAACAATCTTAAAAATAATGATAAAAGAAGTTTGAAAGCTTCACGCACAAGGAAGGTTTTCAGAAGTGCAATGTTGACCGTTGTTGTTTCTTAAAGATGAATCTAGTTATATCATTTTGTTATTTTATGTTGATGATATGCTAGTAGCAAGTTCGTATATGGTGAAATTAAAAACCTGAAGATAAAATTGTCAAAAGAACTTGACATGAAGGACTTAGTTCTTGCAAAGAAGCCTTAGAATGAAAATCACACAAGATAAGCAAAAGGAAATTTTGTAGTTATCTCAAGTAGAATACATCCACCGTGTTTTACATATATTTAACATGGGGAATACCAAAAACAGTCAGCTCACCTTTGTCTAGTCATTTTCTTTTATCCAAGGACCAATAATCTTAAACAAACGAAGAATGATAATTCATGGCTAAAACACTTTCAACTTTTTAACCATAATATTGTTATTGATGGTTCAACAAACAACCCTTAACTAAGAAGATCTAGTCGAAAATTCTTTATTCATTTAAATTTAAATAATTTATTTTGGACTGATTAGTAATAACTTGAATTGGATGGTGGGTTGTGAAATTACAAAAGTACATAATCATTAGTTGTTAAAGGATATGAAAGTTGTTCAATGATGTTTGATTGGTTGAAATTTAAGGTGTTGCTACAAATTAAAAAAAAATTGTAACATATTGGATTGATTTGATTTTAGGAGCTATATGATCATATTTTGAATAATAGATAGAATTGTTATTTTTTGATACATCTTATTGTCTTACATCCATTAAGAGTACGCAAATATAATCATACACAATAGATGATTACACGATGAAATCGTTATAAATCACGCAATAAAAAAATAATTGCACTACATAAATTTAATCTCATGATTTATATACGTGAATACTCATTAAAAAATAATATTATTCAACATACACAATCATTTTTTAAAAATAAATTTTTTTATAATATATAATTATAATAACAATTATTTAATAAACTTTTCATTTTTATAATAATTTTCTTCTATTTTCTTTTATAGACCAATTTGTCCGTAAAAACATCCAGAATTTTAGCTTCCTATATGTATTATTGCATATTATTATTTTACAATAAATTTTAGCTTCCTATAATGTCATATGTATTATTGCGTTTTTATTATTTTTAATTTTACAAGTAGTCTTTTCTTACTACCAGTTTACATAAAGCATCAATAATTTGTGGACCCAACACTTGTAAGGTATTTACCTGTAAGAAAAATTCTTTAGGTTAGTTTTAGAATTCAACAGTTACACTAATTTAAAGGGATTTAAATCTAACAGAGGTGACTTTTTCCTAATATTCTTGTTTCCACTCTCTATGCATAACTAAAATCCTATAATTTAGGTTTAATCAACATGACTTTTACAACATAGTTTGGGTTGTATTTCTTACATAATTTGAATTTTGCATTTTGTTAGTTATCTTTGTAATTTGAATTTTATAGTTATGGAGATTAATCATTGGTGAACAAACTTAAAAAATTAGGTGTTATAAAAGAGTTTTTAAAATTTGAGTTTAAGAATTTAATCATCCGTAATATATAATTCAAGTGTAAAAAATAACTAAACACAACCTTTCGATCTTAAATTCTTCGGAGATTCTGGGTGCCATAGTCTAAATAACTCAAATTTTAAACATTATAGTGAATTGAACATATTCAAATCAATTATGTAAGTTCTACTTTATTTAAATTATATGCAATTCACTTGAGAACACATTTAATTATAAAATACATGAAAAAAGAACTACGTTTCTAACTTAAAAAGAAAAGGAAGATTCCTTGCACTTTTTTTAAATATATAGTATTAATAAGTAACAGAAAATAAATTTATCCTAAATCATAATTCCCTTTTTCAGATTCTGTTAGCATAATTAAATATGAGAATCCATTTTCAAATATTTATTGTGATTAAAACATTCATACAATAAACCAATAACAGAATCCATTAAAAATAATAACTGAAATCAAAACTAGATTACTGACATAACAAATATGAAGATTCCCTGAAAAATGTAATAATAATTTAGCACAATCAATCAGCATGTATACATAACAATATAGTCTTAGGCAGCAGATAAGATAGGTTGTCAGAATCACTCAAAACTTACCTTGCAAATTGAAATAATAAAGGTATAAAATAAATAATAATAATAATAACAATAATAATAATTTGGATAATGTCATCATTGTCATGATCCAAAAGTATAGAGAGGGCCCCACTTTCACGGTCATTGTGAGATTTGAGGAACAAGTCAAGTGTTGTCAGTGTCTTACAAGGGTAGGGCTCAGCTCAGCCATTCTATCTACACGCCGCTCCTTCACACTCTCACTCTCTCTTTCACAACTTTCGCCTTACTCTCTGGTATTCTTCTTCTTCCTCTTATTCTTTTTCTTCTTCTTCTTCGTAATCTCATCTCACCTTTCCATCGTCCTGTGATCCATGTACCATTATTTCAGTCTGAGCTTTTATGTTTGGAAATGAAGGATCTTAACTTGTGGTTGATATGTTGTTATTTTGGGTGATCATCAATGTAAAATATAAGGGTCCACGTCTCACCCATCTTAATTTAATTCGAAAGGGATACTGGTTGGTCAGATTTGAATGAAAAAAATAATAAAGGCTTCTTAGTTTAGTTAAGGTTGTATTGATGCTGATGTGGGTAGGGTTGTGGTGTGTTTATTGATTTGGTTTCTCGGGGACTGTTTTTGTGAGCTTTTATATATTTACATCCAATATTCATCCCTTGGCGATCTAAGAAAGAAATCTGAACAGAAAGGAGAGGTGAGAGTGTGACTCAACTTTTTGTGTCCGTATGGGGATTGGATCTGCAAATTCTGCATGTTTCACTGTTTTTTGTTTTTTTCTGTAAATATTTTGACATATTTTCAGCTTCTGATAGGTGTGATTTTTTTTCTTCTAACATGTCTCGACTTTCCCGTTTGAGATTCTTCTATGGATATAGAAGATAAGTAAATCAAATGATTCCTCTGATTTGAGCCAACTATTTGTTAATTGGACACGAGGGTTATTCTGTTCTCGGAACACAGATCCTGGATCTAATTGGAGTAATGATTTCTGTGACTCCAAAACTAGTTCTATAGAATCTCCCGATTTGCATGTAGTTTGTTCTTGTACGGTTCTTTTCGGAGTGCGATTTTCATTGGTTAATTTTTTCAAAATCTGTGCATGGATATACTTGAGACTAATTAAACTGCAAAATCGAAAATTTCTAAGATGTTCTATCTGGTTGTTAGACAGCTAAAATGCAAGGAGGATTAAGAACATTTTTGTCCAACGGGAATGTCATTAAAAATGCTGTTCTGCAACGGGTTCGCATGGTGAATCCCCTGTTGCAACCAATCGCCTCCTCACGGTTTGAATCTGTTACACCTGCTCGCATTGAGGAACATGGTTTTGAGAGCACAACAATTGCAGACATCATGAAAGACAAAGGCAAGGGTGCAGATGGATCCTGGCTCTGGTGCACCACAGATGATACTGTTTATGATGCTGTTAAATCGGTAATATGTATTTGATTTTATTGCAATTGTTTTTGGAATAAATCTGGGAGTTTACAATGGGTTGATGTATGTTCTTACATTGACATCCATTGCAGATGACCCAAAACAATGTTGGGGCTCTGGTTGTTGTGAAACCTGATGCGAATAAGGCAATTGCAGGGATTATTACCGAAAGAGGTATCCGATTGGCTTAATGAGTTCTGTGATAAGTTGTCTAATGGATGATTTAGTTTTCTTTAGAAAACGATGGCTTATGTCTGATGCAATTCTTTACGCTAATGTCTCGATAAAATTGTTTGGAAATGCAAAGTAGTGAACTTAGATTTTCTATATTATAGAAACAAAGAAAGAGGAGGGAAAAGCTCTTCATCTGTTTCTCCCTATCCGTGACATATGAGATCCTAAAATTCTATTTAGTTTTGGGGCAAGATTTTTGGTAAGAATAGTTCAGTTCTATATGTTCTGCATGTTTTATATGTTAAGCCATTGAGCATCATATGCATAATTGCCTAACTGAACAAGAAAAAATGAGATTGGTATGCTTGACACACTTGGCACCCTGTAAAAACTAAAAAGGGTTGTATTGTATTCACTCGATGGTGCTTTTGGCTTTCAAGATTCTGTGTATCATATGCTGTAAGTAGTAAATACCTGCATGTACTCTGATGAGAATGCAAAATGATTTATATTGGAGAAGGAAAATGTCTAATTGGCTAACGAGCTAATAATCCAGGAAAAGCCTTTGCATAGTATGGTCTTTTTATCAATATATTTTTCGACACAGTTAAATAGTCTTAATTATCTACAGCCTGTTTGTTTATCCCTTGGTCATTTGTGTTAACTATTTGCTCCTCTCGTCATTCAGATTACCTGAGAAAGATCATCGTGCAGGGAAGATCTTCCAAGTCTACCAAGGTTGGAGATATTATGACTGAGGAGGTATGTGTATTATGGTACTTCTTGTGTTTACTTCAACTTGGAGAAATATTTTATTATTTCTGCTAAATTGCAGAAAGAGCTTTTGAGAAATAAACTACCGTTTTTCCAAAATTAAGCTTGCCAAACATACTGTTATTCTATAGTGAACCTGCAATTTGTGTTATGTTATGTGTTCAGAGAATTAAACTGTTCCCCTTGTTAGTGGTGTTCCAGATAACTAAACTAAAATTCTATCGTTGTGACTGCAGAACAAACTTATCACAGTCACTCCCAATACCAGAGTTCTACAGGCTATGCAACTGATGACTGGTATGTATGAGCTTTGAAACATTGTTTTAAGCTGTCAACTAATAAAAAAATCATCTTTAATCATAGTTTGTAATTGGATATTATTATAACAGGACCAAAATTCACACTGTTACTACATGTATATATTATTGTTCATTCGGAAAGATATCATA